ACCAAGCACCTCTCGACCCACGATGAATTCTCTTCCTGCTTTACCTGTTACTTTTTCTCCTGGCCTTCATATCACACTAGAATTTTGATGTATCATCTGCTTGCGACCTTGTCTATTATTGTTCCCAATTTTCCATAGAACTCCACTTTCTCCTCCAACAGGTCTACGTTGTTTGTATGAGTGTAGCACAGTATGAATGCAACCATCCTTCTTTCGAGTTGAATTGTGTTATCATGATTCCGAGGGAGATTGGTTCCTCATTGCATTAGAGCCTTCTACGCTGTATGTCACAACATCATAACCATACTCTCAGTGAACTAATGATTGTCTTCTGGGTGATCGGAGTTTATTACTGACTCTCTAGTTAATAGTCTTGAGGCTCCAATTCCATTCCATTTATTCTCACAGACTCCTAGAACTTTTGTACAATATCTCCTAACTTCTTTTGCTATCTGAGCAGTCTGGGTATGGATATTCTATGTCTCCAGGTTTACTTTTGCTTTCGTCGAAGAAAGATATACCCGTCGACTAGCTTCCTGAAGATTTTAACCCAGCAGCACTATTCTTCCGCTCCGACTTCAGGAGAGAATGAGTTTGTTTGTTCTGCGTTTCAAAGGTTCACTAGCAATGCGGTTGTTTTTTAAGAGGTGTTCCAAACTGAAGATACAATGGCAAGCCAGCTGGCCTGTAAGAAAAATTAACTACAAGAAACTCTGGCTAGCTGAGTGGGAGCGAACCAACAGGCAAGAGCCGATTGCTCAACAAATATGTAGGAGAAAACAGAGAGAGATCGGGCATACTTTGAGGAGGCGGTCGAACGACATCGCGCACCAGGCATACCCTCGAGTGGAATCCCAATGGGAAGCGACGATTGGATCGTCAGTGTGAGGGTGACATGGAGGAGATCATGTAGTGAGTTGGAGAAGATGAGAGATTATAGTCAATCGTGGGCCCAGCCGAAAAGGATTGAAGAAAATAGAAGAGAGTGGAGATGTGTTGTTGAAGTCCTATGTTCCTCCCGGAACCCAAGGAAATAAGAATAATAAAGTAGAACGTTGGGGGAGATTATAAGCTATTCAAACTGTCGAGTGGAACCCGAATGACAGATGACGAGTTGGGCATCCGAGGATGGTATCAAGGAGATGTGTAGCCAAAAAATGAAAGCTTATGGGCTACTGTCGAGCCAGCTAAAAACAGACTGCATAGAAATGGAAATATGTTGCTGAAGCTCCATGTTTCACTCGGGACCCAACAGAGTAATATATATATACATTCAACGAATTATTTCTTATTGATCTTCTTTTTCCTTTTTCTTTAGGTTTATTTGAATGATATGATGTTATCCAACTCTGAACACTTAGTCCCTGTTGGCTCGATAAATGGTTTCACAATTGACGGTGATTCAATCATTACAACTATACTATTTGGTGATTTAAGCGCCATTCAAAAGTACAATTCAAAACATGATGCAAAACTAATTCATTTAAATACACCAAAAATTATTGAATGTCGTCTAACATCTGATGAGGTATTAGCTACTGTATTACACAATGACAGTGATGAATATTCTAAGATGGATGAAGAACACAGTCATGGAGGTGATGGCGGTAAGAGTGACGATGACGTTGTTAACTCCAATAAAATCAATGGTGGCGCTGAAGTTGACTTCAGTAACCGTCAGGAAATTCACTACACTGAGAAACTAACACTATTAGAACAGAATATTCAACAAGACCAAAAGAATCAGCAGAAATATACAGAAAATATAAAGTCGAATACATCGAATCAACACAATTCAACGTTTGCGAAAACCAACAACATTCAACATTTACAAGATTCAAATCATCTGACTAGAGCTTCTTCATATCAATTAGTATTTGATACAGATAGTGATACTAATGAAGAAGAAAATGGCGGAATTGATGAACAGAACGGAATATCGCCTTCTTTGAAGACAGATATCAACTTAACACTATTCAAACAGATAAGAGCTAAAAGTATCCAGAATCTTTTCACTCATCATGAGAATTTAGAGAATTTGCTTAGAATTATTCAAAAACACGAACAAATTAATGACAGTGGCAATTGTAATGCTGATACACTAGATCAATGTTCAATGGTTTCAATATCAAACAAATCATTACCAGAATATAGGGATTACGCGGAAATGATGAATAGCTCAGGTCAGTTATCTAGAAATTACTCTTCATCACAACAGTTGGAACTAGTCAGAGAGGAGTATGAATTAAATGATAATATTGATAAAAATAACGGTGAAATTGACAAGATTCATAAGAATATTAATGTCAAAGAACAAGAGGCAACAGAACTATACGCTCTTAACGACAGTAACTCAAAACAAACGTTAAATCCTGTAGAATTCTTGTCTAATCTTGTTAAGTCAGTAACCGAGTTAACCGAGGAGAAATCAGAAATAAGTGAAAACACAGGAATTGGGTGTGAGAAACAAATTTTAAATATCGATTGTTTAAATAATCCGCCAGAAGAAGAAGAAAGCGCTTCTCCTAAATCGACAACATTTAAACAAGCAGATAGCATGATAATTGAATCAAAGATACCTGTACTTCGAAATGGTCTATCTAATACATTAAATGATAATTCCAAAGACTTTACAAGTAAGCCTTTCAAATCAGCCTATAAAGGTAGATTCCAATCGCGTGAAACTCATTCTTATCCAGATTATTGTATGCCTTCAAAGTATACAAATACATCAAAGAAACAATCAGTAATCCATTCTAGAATTCCGAAACCACGTTCAATTTCCAGTGGTGTTGTACATCAACAAAATAAACAACTAATGAATGGTAAGGCAAATTGTCCTCCTACATCGAATTCGAAACCTTCCACTCCTATCACCTCTCCTAGACACATATCAAATAAAACTTCAGTTAATTCAGTATTAAAGTCACAGATTAAAAATGGTTTAGAAGAAAACACTGTCTATAAAAATGGAATTAATGAAAACCACTCTGTAGTGAATAAAAAATCCCCTAGAACTACACCTAAAGATACTACACCAGTTAACGGATATAAATGTGGCAGAGAAATTAGTAAAAGACGATCTTTTGAACAGTCTCCAATCAAATCTGGATCATTGTCCCCATCATCTTGTTCATCGTTGTCATCATCAACGATTTCATCACCTTCGCCAACAAAACCACCAATAAACTCTGACAGATTTGAAAGTGACAAAAAGGCGAAACTAAGAGAAGAACAAACAGCGTCAATAAACTCAACAACAAGTCCTACACTGACAAATGGACATGCTAAACCACTAGAAAAACCAATATCAAATGACAATCTACAAAAAGTGATCTTAAATCAATCGAAAGTAAATCAACAGTGTAATTTAATTAGCCAATGGAATGTTACATCCACTACTAAATTAAGAGAAAGGGATCCAATTATCTTATCAAATGGACTAAATAATCACCATAGCATACCGCTTTCACACCAACCATTAAGTGAAAATAAGCATATTTTAAACAATGTAAATAATATCACAACCAATAACCATAACACTAAAACCGAAATATTAAAGAGCGATGTAAAACAAGACAAAGAATTGACAAATGAACAGTCAACATTCAATGTTCAATCTAATAATTATACAGATTGTTTAAATGATACTAAAAAGCAATTAAATGAAAATGGCGCTGTGAAGTCCAACCTAACACCGGAAGTGGATGAAATTAAAAAAGATACAATGAATGGTTATGCAAAACCTACACAGAATGGCTTCACAAATGGTAACGTCACTGAAAATGGCGTCAGTAACCATGGTAACATTCAGCTAAATTTGAAAGAAAATGATTATTTAAATTCACTGCCAGATAACAAATTACTCTCAACATCGATATCATTATCGCCGTCAGCGTCATCCCAATCAGCCACATGCTTATCAATGACTAGTCCAATAGATACGCTAACTACCTCCATGACGTCTATAACAACCGACTCGATAAAAAATGGTTTCCAACAAGAAAAGATGAAAAATTCTACAAAGTTTATACAATCTCCGAAGAAATGGTTAACGCGTAAGTTGTCTATGTTGAAAAAGCGTTAAACTACAGCATAAAATTGTCATATAACTTGTAAACATTACTTACACACGCATACAAATGCTCCAAAACTCAAAACGATGTTTGTCGAATAACACAGTTAAACTACTTAAGCATTGATATTTGGTTAAATGTGATATGTACACAGAAACAATTACATTAAGTCTTTCATCATACCACTCTCTACTCACACTTGAGTATATTTCAGTCAGTCATCCACTCATCTCCCTCCCCTAACCTCACTCTACTCCACTCCACTCCACTTTACATATATATGCATGCATAATTTAAAAGTTTTCATATAAAAATCGTCATCTTGAACGTTACTCTACGACGCGAAACTGTAAACATTTATTGCTTTCAGCCATTTTTTATGCATGCCTCTAGGTTCTCATTTATTTTTAAGTTTAATAAAGTTGTCTTTACAAGTGAATACGGATGATGAATTAGATTTTGATATTTAGATGTATTAACAATCATAAAATGCAGGCCAAACATATGGAAGATGTTCTTGCCAATGATTGCGGTTTCGTATTTCTATGTGATGCTAAATAGCAACTTATTATACACATTGTTATTATCATTCTCTTGGGTTCCGAGTAAAACATAACGCGTCACACAACACATCTGCATATTATCCTGTTCACTGAAGTCGTTTTTAGCTGACTCTATGATTGCCCATCGGCTCTCATTTCCTCCTCAGACGACTTCCTCCGTGTTAACCTCGAACTAACGCCGAAATCGTAGTTTTCCATTCGGGTTCCACTCGAGGACCTGTCTGGTGTGTGATGTAACTCAACAGTCTCCACAGAATATATCCGCTGTATCTCCATTTCCTTCTGCATATTTGTTGGGCGATAGGTTCCTAGTTGGTTAGTTGCCTGATAGGGTTCTTTTTGCTTATCCTTTCTGGCCACCCGGTCTCCAGTATGGAGCCAGTGGGAGTCAAATGTTGATGAAAGTGTAGAGGAACCCATTTCAAATGCTTTTCATGATGCACTTGCCAGGTCCGTGGACAATTTACAAGCACTGACTAACTTGACATTGGTGTTGAAAATTCGAATCTTGTATATTATGCCAAGTGAAGCATATTTCCTTAAGTCCTCAGTGGAACATAGACCTTCAACGGCACATCTTCATTGAGCTAGATTCTTTGTCATCTCCATACCACCTTCAAACCATCGCCCAACTCGCCACTTCTAATTCGGCTTCCACTCATACATATATATATGTATAGTTTTGTGTTTATTTCTCTACGTCCCCAGTGGAACACAGGGCTTCAAACGATGATGTTTTCTTTTACTGGGTGGGGTTGCTAGCCTCACGCCCAACCTCCCCTCTTTGTTAAGCTTACTATCAACTAATGAAGGTAAAGGTGTTCACCGGATGGGGATCCAACCCCTGATTACATGTGTCGTTGGCGAGCATCCTACAGCTGAACCTTTTCTTCGCCATGTGCAAAGCTAAAACTGAAAATTTTAGTTTCGTAGTATATAAATGAAATGCAGTTTAGTGGTATAACTAATCTCACTTCAAGAAATTTATATCCTCAACACTATAGTTTTTGAAAACATGTAAAACTGAGGCTACTTATTAAATAGTACTACACAGGAGCATTCGAACAACAATAAAGCAAAACAAAACTAGCACATCACGTGCTACTTCTGTAACGGCAGAGGACAAAGGCCAGGCAACAGATCGTTTATTCAGAGAATCAACAGATATTTATAGATTTTTATGTACATTATTGTCAGTGGAGAGGTAACGTCTACTAATTGGTTGTTTTCTTGCTGAAGATTATTTTGTACTGCTTGTGACCGTCTCTCAGAAAGTTAAGTCATATATCTGCGAATCGTATTTGCACACGTTAAGTCTGCTGTGATTGATTGGTGAGTTCCTCTAGGTTAAGCTTTGTTATTGTTTTTTTCTCATGACCCTGATTCGGGACGTAAACATTGACGTAAATTGTTGTCTACAATTTTAGCTTGTTCGCAAACAGCTCTCACCACACTTGAACTCTACGTCTTTCAAAGATCCACCATAAGTTTACTGTATTTAATATTTATTCCTTTACCTTCCCAGTGGAATATAGGGCTTCAAGCTGGAGCTTTGTAGTCTCGGTAACAGTGGTGTTTATTTTCATTTTATTTTTTAAACCCAACCCTCCCTCTTTACCGGTTTTTTCACCGGTTTACCAAGGTTTAGGAGTACTTTGGACCGGGAGCCGAACTCCAGATCACATAAGTGGTTAGCCAGCATTCTAACTCAAAATCGCCGACGCTTCCATAAGTTTCCTTGATGGAAACTCATAAAAGTATGCATTGATTCAGCTACACAATAACAACGTATAATAAGATTCTAGGGAAGAAGAAGGGTGAATTCATTCGGAAAATTCAAGTCGGTTTCATACCATATTACTTCCAGTTCAAACCCACTTATCCTTTTCACAGCTCATGAACACTGACTGACGTAAGAAATTCCACACGGCACAGATATAAATAGTTGACTTCAGCTCGCGTTTTCTTCGGATATATTCAGTTTAGATTAAGAGGCAAGCACTGCGTATTTGTTTCCAGACTACCTGAGTTCCAATAACTAGTCTACTACGTCGTAGTTTTTAATGAGGAGTCACACCAAGCATCAACGATAGAAACTTGTAATCGCATTATACATCAACATTTTGAAGAAATTTAAAATTTCACATCTATAAGGTGTCGGCAACCTGCTTTACCTACTGGGCCACCTGAATTTCTATCTGACACAATACATCATACTTTGTATAATGCTTACTTTTTTTAACTATTCCATTATGTCCTTAAGTCGTAAAATGTACTCAAGCACATTTTTAATTGGCTTTCAGTCTACTAATGTTATACATTTCTTGGAGACGAAAGAAAAGCATCAAAAGGGATTAGTTTGTGCTTCAGATAGAACAGCATTGCGTCATATGACATACTAAAGATTGGTATTTTAAATGAAGATCGTTTATGAGCAGAAAAGATTATGCGACAAACTGAGCTGAGAATTCTGTAAATTGTGTAGACATTCTGTCCAGAATAAAACTGTTTGTTCCATTATGGGTAAATTTTATTTTGATAGAGTCTCACAGTGTTATACAGTAATATTTACTGATGACGTTTCGAGCACAATTTATTACTGCTCATAATCATATCAAGTTAATCACACGACTTCCTAAATTCATTTATATAGTTCCATTGTTTTTCACTTGATTTTCACTTGATTTGATTGGTAGTATTATTTTCCATATTTCGGGTATAAGTGATGAATCATTCCTATTGCATGTGTTGGGTGTAGATTCGATGAACAAAGATTCAGTAATCAACCTCTCTCTCCACCTACCTAGATTACTTCTTAGAATTTTAACCCTCTCCCACCCTATTGTGTGGTTGTGTGCTAATGCATGGATTGCAATTGCCGAGCTTTTTTCCAAATTACTTATCTTCTCTGGGTCAACCATTCTTACCTTAGCTAAATTCTTATGTTCTGACAATCTGACTACTCCTGACCTACTAGTTTGACATATGTAGTTGACCTCACAGTCATCGCAGGGTATTTTGTAAATTATATTATTTTGTCTAATCGGGTCAACCGACAGAGTTCTTTGGCCTACAGAGCTTGTCCCTGAGTGAGTTTGTAGGTTTAAATGCCACCCTAATTCCTGCTTTATTTAGAATCCTACGTAAGGTCTCAGATATCCCCTCCTTATATGGTATTACAGTGGATGACTTATATTCCCTCTTATTTATGTTATCATTACTAGTTCCACAATTATTTTTATTTTGTTTTTGGCTTTTAGTTATCTTCCTAATGAATTTTATAGGATAGTTATTTAAAATCAACGCCTCTTCTATCTGTTTTATTTCATCATTTAGGTCTTTTTTTGTGCTACTTAGTGCCATTGCTCGGTTTGTTAAACACTTAACTAAGCCTGCCTTAACAGTTAAAGGATGAGATGAATTAAAGTTTAAATATCTATTAGAATGCGTTGGTTTTCTATAAACACTAGTGTGTAGTTTGCCTTCTTCTATTCGTTTTATTTTACAATCTAACATAGCTAATTCTCCTTGCTCATTTTCAGCTTCAAATGTGAACTTTATTCCCTCCACTAGTGAGTTTATGTGTGTCAAGAAGCTAGAGATATGTTTAGCTAAGGTAAGAATGGTTGACCCAGAGAAGATAAGTAATTTGGAAAAAAGCTCGGCAATTGCAATCCATGCATTTGCACACAACCACACAATAGGGTGGGAGAGGGTTAAGATTCTAAAAAGTAATCTAGGTAGGTGGAGAGAGAGGTTGATTACTGAATCTTTGTTCATCGAATCTACACCCAACACATGCAATAGGAATGATTCATCACTTATACCCGAAATATGGAAAATAATACTACCAATCAAATCAAGTGAAAATCAAGTGAAAAACAATGGAACTATATAAATGAATTTAGGAAGTCGTGTGATTAACTTGATATGATTATGAGCAGTAATAAATTGTGCTCGAAACGTCATCAGTAAATATTACTGTATAACACTGTGAGACTCTATCAAAATAAAATTTACCCATAATGCAATTACACTCTACCACAGTGCACAAGTTTTATTCTTATATCAATGTACTGATATTTCTTTTGATATCCGGGACAATAGAACTGTGAACATAAAGGAAGCAGTTATTACATGAACGCAACAATTTTCCATTTCCTTTATTACCAGAATCTATCCTTTCCATACCAAGTGGCACATAGGACTTCAAACTAGAGCTTGGAAGTTTCAGTAGCACTGGTTTTATTTACTTTTTACAGGGTGGGATTGCTAGCTTCACGCCCAACCTCCCCTCTTTGCCGGACTTATCACCAGCTAAGCGGGGTTTAGGAGTGCGCCGCCTGAGGATCAAACTCTGGACCATAGTATGCTTGGTTGAGAAGCATCCTATCGCTGCACCAACGATGCCTAGAATAGTTACTAATGATACATAAATAATGAACTATGCTATATACTAACTACTGACTGAGTAGTATGAATAGTGCTCACTAGGCTGATCTAAGTGGTGTAAACACTTAACCGCCATTTCCCTCGTCAGCAGTGTATACATATTGCAGAATGAGTTCAAACCACCTAAGTGAGTGGTATTCAACCACTTGATTGTCAGTTTTTGTGGTATTTAACAGGTTGCATAATGTTTGTGATCTGAATAATTTCAATTTCCGTAAGATGCACTGTAGGGAAATTTCACCTTGAATTGTGTAAAATGTAAATTGTGAATTGGATAAATCATATCATAGTATCAGCGAGCTCCAAAGCTCAGTGTAGAGCAAACAAGTGTCATTTATTATGTGGTTGGTGACTTGTAGTGGAATCCAGAACAACGTCTATTTCATTCTAGATTTGGAACTTGTTATCTGAATGTACTTGCATTCTCCAGAGAGTAACAGTATTCCCACTGAGGCCCAAACCAAGTATCCAGAGTTTCAAATGCCAAAGCGTTATCCACTAGACTACTTGGGCCACGATCGTCAGCCACCTCTTGTGAAATGGGCATTTCAGTAATTTTCTATAGTTTGGTTTGTAAGGGTTAGTTACGTTTTTACGAGTTGATCACGGATTGATATCAGTCAGAGAACCATTGAAAACCAGCAGTGGAGTACTGGACAGCTGTTTCATCCCACCAGTTTGAGAATCATCGGCATTATGCACGCATCACCGGGGTGCGAACCCAGGACCTTCAGGTTACAAGTCCAGCAAGCTCGTATACCAATCAGCCACTGGGACCCGATTCATTGGCCAGTCCATGAATTCTAACTTCTACCAGTTCGTGATTTAGCGCTACCCCAACCATTGTCGTTGGTGGGACATCCATCCTCACACATGACATCTGGATGGACCTCACTGGTCACGACTTTTCACTAGAACTCCAGGAAACCATCCTGTAGCAAGTCACTAGAGAGCATCAGAATAATTCTCTATAGTTTGGTTTGTAGGGATTAGTTATGTTTTTACGAGTTGATCACGGATTGATATCAGTTAGAGAACCATTGAAAACCAGCACTGGAGTACTGGACAGCTATTTCATCCTAGTTTGGGAATCATCGGCAGTACGCACCCACTGGGGTTCGAACCCAGGACCTTCCAGTTACAAGGCAAGCTCGTATACCACCCAGCTACAGGATGGAGTTTCCTGGAGTCCTAGTGAGAAGTCGTGACCAGTGAGGTCCAATTTCGGTAATTAATTAATTCTAATTGAAATTTCCTGTCGATTGATTGGAGCAAAATAGTCGACTGACCTCTGTCATTTATATTCTGTTCAACAGATTTCCTTCTTAGTACAATAACAGATAAAAACTTGATGCTAACCACTGTTCAGTACAACATATCACAGGCGAAAACTCATATCTACTTCTAACCATACATTTATTTTACACAGTTATGTTATAAAAAAAGTAGGCAAATATTGATCTTATACAAAGAGATATTCATACGAAAGATGAATTTTGAAATTATCATCTATTTTTCTAAAAATTCTTTGCCTTTTTTTATTTATGCATTCTTTCTTATTATGACAGCATGAAGAAACTCAACAATCACAGTCACAAACTAGTTCAATACATAGTCGCAAAACTGTCGACACCACAGACAGCACACACACACACATATGCACATATCGCCATATCATCAAAATAACCAAAATATCACCAACCATCTACAGCAACTTCAATCACGTAATCAAATATTCAGCGGAATCTTAGAGATTTTCAATTAATTAACAGACTGTAATTAAACACTTTTCTTTGTTTTATACTATTCATTATCACCTCTTTAATTTTCAATCACTAGATCGTCAAATAATCAATACAAAAGAACAATGAGAAGAACTTTTGAAGACAAGGAATGAATAAATAAATAAATGAATAAATATAATACTCATTAGTACATCAAAATTATCTAAAATTTCTCCAATCGATATGATTACTATTTTCATTTAAAACAAAAAGGAAAAGAAAAGAGAATTCAATGCTTACAATCCAGTTACTTCGCCACCTTTTTTCTATTTTTTTTTAAAAATAGTGCACATTTCAATAAAAATAACAATCAACCAATCAGTATAATTTTCATTCCTATTTGCTCAATGTTCAATTGCTGTAATTGTTTTAATCTTGTATTTGCCTAAACTTATAATATGTGTAAATTTAAATCAATATATGTAAAGATATTTTTTACCGAACATAAAGCTAGATTAAAATTATCTAATTGTATTCAGGTTGTTTGTTTGAAGCATTCCTACCCCCAATTTAACTTTTTATTTCAGATATAGTGTATTCTTGTATTATTCTTGCTTCGTTATTTGAAATATATATATATATATATATACATATATGCATATATATACATGACTACTTAAATATATTTTTCAGTAGTTTCTCAGCTGTAGTTTTGCTTATAAGTATCAAAAAGCTGGTAAGTCAAGTCTGCCGGCTTAAAAAATACTCCACACTTATGTTTTGTTTATCCAGATAAGCCGGTTAGTGTGAGCCTTTAGACAGCGGAGTGTGTTATTGACTTTACACTGATAGTTCCTCATTAATTCTGTTTATTTGATATATCATACAATGAAACAGTATTACCTTTCGGATGACGAAGTTCTGAACACACTTTATTACTCATAATCATATGAATCGCATCTTCGAAGCTTGGTTTCTATAGTTCTCTTTATTCCTTCACATTCGTTATAGGGGTAGTAGAATTTTTTAGATGTCTGGGTGGACAGGTGTCGGATTAATATTATTATTATTGTACGTATTCATAGTTGATACAGTAAATGAAGCTTCTGTTATCAAACTCTCCCTCCCCCTGGTTATATTGTGTTTTAAGACTGTCATTTAAAAGAATGGATACTGAACAAAGAATACTCTTTTCGATAACTTCATCATCAGGTTCTATAGTTATATATCCATCCATAATACTGAATGAATTAGGATGATTAGCAACATCAACGTTGTTTAAATAACATCGAATCAATGATAATAATAATATCAATGGCTTAAAGTCCGATAGCACCAACATAACAATACACTGAGTATCAGAGAAATTAGGAAAAATAATAATGCAGAATTCATGAGTTTATAGTCTCCATTGAAGGCTACCTAGGGCAGTAGTTGGGGCTGGATTCGCTTCCTTTGCACACAAAGCACTGGTTGTTTGAGGCGAATTGTAATAGCCTCTGCTGTTTGCAGCAGGCGGTGCTTCGATGTTTTTAGCAATTTATTTAGTACCCGGTAGATGATAGAGAAGGATTCTTCAACGCTGGCTTTGTGGTCGGTTTATACCAGATGATCCAATATCGAAATATTAATCGTTTTCACTACACCTTTACTTAGCCATACAAGGAGATGTTCTCGAGCACGAAAAACCAAGTTCCTAGAGCAGCCGCTGCTATAACTCTCTACACAAGCACAATTAAATAGGTAGATACAATTTGAAGTGGCTAGTCTAGGTACTTCATCTTTCAGTCGAGGAATCACCATCGGTCATTTTAGCTTAGCTGTTGTTGTTTTTTCAGATTTCTTATCTTATTAGGGTCAACTAATCTAGATTTTGCTAGGTTTCTTGTGCTACTTCGCTAGTCTGACTGACCCCGTTCTATTACTTTGACCAGCTAGTCATTGCAGGGTATTAGATAAACTAAATTATTTTGTTTAATGGGCTCCACAGGATCCTTTAGCTGACATAATTTGTTTCTAAGTGAGTTTTGAGGGGTTTGGATTCCAACTTTATTCCTGCTTTGTTAAGGATTCGACGCAAGGTTTCACAAATCCCTTCTCTGTATGAAAGCACTACTGATAACTTAAGTTCCCTACTGTTAGTGATGTCATCTTTCTGCGTATGTCAAGTATGTTGCCCTTATAATCATTATTTAAACTATGCAACTTTGGTTAATTTCAGGTATTAAATTTCATCAAGAACCAGCATCATTTACAGAGATGATTGACAGATCACTACAGAGCTGTAGGGTCCTATTTTTTGAGATTCCTTAACAATGCACACCCACCACCCCACCGGGGATCACACCTGTAACCTTCGGGTTACAAAACCAAGCTCGTTGATCACTCAGCCACTTTGGCCAGAACTCAATGACCCATGAATGCTAACTTCGGTCTCTCCCTCAGTCAATGCCTTCCATGAGCGTCCACTCCATCTTGACTTGGTGGCCTCTAATAGTTACAGCTTTTCACTACACCTTCAGGAAATCCATCCAGTAGACATCAACAAATTGGAGATTGATCTTTAGATTATGGGATTTGTGTGGATTTGGATTTCGAAGAGACTCAAAAATATAGAACGAAACAGCTATCCATTGGTCCCTAGCTTTCATTGATCTCTCTGACTGATGTCGGTTCCCACATATCTCATGATTATCGATCCAGAATATCATACTGATTCACTGTGTGAGATGTTCAATAAACGAGTTAATTTTCAAGAGTTTTTGTAGGGATATGATTTGTCTCAAGTGTGATCATGGATTGATATCAGTTAGAAAACCAATGAAAACAATTAGAGAGTACTGGGTAGCTGTTTCGTCCAATTTTAGGACTCATCATCAGTTCGCACCAAACGGGTTTCGCTCCTAGGATCTTTTTGCTACAAGGTAAGCTCATAGACCATTCGGCCACTGGAACCCAACTTAATGGCCCATGAATTTTCAGAAGGTTCTGGGTTCGAAACCCGTTTGGCGCGTACTGTCAAGAAGGAAGAAACAGTTGTCCTACTCCCTGATAGTTTTCAATGGTTCTCAAACTGATATCAATCTGTGGTCAAACTTGAAAATAACTGAAATGGAAATACTTATTGTCACTGTGCTTGCGTTTTACACGTATTAATATACACTGATAGCTTAGTAAGCTTCCTATTATTTCAGAGACAGATAATATCTTGCTGCATCGATTCATACTACTTCTTTTGTATAGAAAGTAGTCACTTCCCTTTTACTAAATATATACAATAATAGATAAGTGTGCTATAGTATCACTTATGACATCTAATAAGTAGTCTGTCGGCTGCATATCTTTCCTGCAGTCAACTTAGCAAACAAGCAACAACTGTGGAAAAAAGCAGTATTTAATGAATGCATAAATTTCGGTAAAAGGACTCATCAACTGAACACTTCTCTACAAACATTGTTATTTATGTTATCTCCTTTTAAGGTTAAATAGATACAGAAACATCACACATTGTTACAACAAATAAGTATCAATTTGAACAAATATATATGTGATCTATAAGGGATGAGTGATATTCTGTTAACGTCATTATTCAATGAATAACGTTCACCTAAGCAGCATATATTAACTTACAAACTGGAGCTGAACAACTTCAAAGACGACTACTTGCCTCATATAATATTAAAGTTTATTTCAAACCCTCTAATTCTCTAGAGAAAGCCTTGGTGAATGTCAAAGATATGGTCCCCAAAATGTCACAAAGTTATTGTGTCTATAGGATAAAATGTTCAGAATATGAAGCTTGCTATATAGGGGGGAGCAAAGTAGACAGGTGAAGGTCGGAGTGAATGAACATAGACTGTACACGAAACGTCCACCTAGAAATGAAGTAGAATTAAAAAGTCTAGAAAGTAGATCAGACAGCCCAATGCATGCTATAGACAGAGGGTATAAGATCGATTTCGACAATGTCAAATTTCTAGGAGGAGGCTTTCATTCACATAAAGAAAGGTTGACCTCTGAAGCCTTGCACATGTTAACCACATCGAATGCAGTAAATAGGAGAGAAGGGATAGACTTATCACCTATATGGCAGACTCTAATGTAGCAAAACAGATGAGGGAGAAAAACAAATTCAATCCCGTATTATGACCACTGTGAAATATTATCATGTTTTGACGTATTTTCCACATAACAAATAACACACAAACACACGCACACTCATACAGAAAAATAAGCGCATATGACAATTTGACACTGTCTGTCTGTCTGTTTTCGACATAGAACTTTGCACATATGTCCGGCAGTTCAAGTCGCCACACTCCATGTAGCACACAAAGCAAGAGAAGAAAGTAGAAGAAATGCATATTAGAGACAGTAAACAGAGGTGTGAGACAAAGGAATAGTAATAACGAAGAACAAAACAGTTTCATTGGAAATCATAAGTCACTAGGAGTGGATGCATCTGCGCCACTGAGAACGATTTTGAGCCATGTCACCAATTGTTTCCAACCATTGGTTTTTACCGTCCCGAGGACCCCAACCAGGAAGTCTACATCTCCCTACGTGACTTAGACTAACTGTTGTGGATTTCATTGACTGGTGCCATGTTTTCGTTTGACCGCCGCTAGCTCTTTTCCAGCCTGGCCCTATATCAGCTAACATTGCCCGTCGAGGAAGGCGATGACTAGGCATACGTAGCACATGTCCTAACCATCTCAGTCAATGTAATTTCACAGCCTCGTCGATTGATTTCCCCTCCTTACCTAGCACTCGACGCCTAACCATTTGACATTAGTCATTACAAATATGTGATGATGTCTGCTTACATATTTCTATTGGTACAAATGTCTACCGACAAGTGACATTCAAAGGAAATGACTTCAATTTATGTGATTTTTGACTTTATATTTTGATGATTAATAAAATCCGAATAATTCTGCTGAAGAAGCTGTGGCAGCTTACATAGCGAAACGTTGAGAAAAATCTTGAGTTGATTTTTTTTCTTAAACACTCTAGGATTATTTACAATAATTTATAATGAGAATTAATACAGTTATAAACATTTAGATTTGTTAATGTGTGGGTCGGTGGCACAGCGGTAGGATGCTCACCAACCACGCAGGTGGTCTGGGTTTCGATTCCCGGTCACCAACGCACTCCTTTACCTCGCTAAGCCAGTGGTAAGACTGGTAAAGAGCGAAGGTTAGGCATGAGGCCCTCAACCCCATCCTGTAAAACTAATCACTGCTGCTAAACTGCTACAGAAACTTCAAGCCTCTAACTTGAAGCCCTATGTCTCACAGGAAATGTAAAGGAATAAAAATAGATTTGATAATATTGAAATACTTGGAAACTTCATGAAAAACGCAAATGAATATATTTAACCGATGTAATACCATACAGGACTAAACAATAAGATTTCAATATTGGCTGATTTAAACCCATAAAAGATAGTTTGAACACTCCTCACCAAGATGACTTTCGATTTACAAATATCATTAGAAAAGTAACAGAATGTCTGATAAATCATTGAGA